AATGGGAGTGTATACATGCATGCACCGGAGTGTATGCATGCGTGTGTGCCGGAAACCAGAAGAGTAGCCGCCAGGCACGCACATGCACACTAGGAGGCTGCTCTTCTGGTTTTGTTTATCCCACATTCATTAAGACCAGCTGGCTGGCGTGCCAAAACCTAGAAGAGCAATGGGCAACAGTTTGTGCATCTGGAGAGAAGGCTCTGTGTGCCCTTCCGGCACGCATGCCATAGGTTTGCCATCACGGCTATAAGAGAAGCTATTTCAGATCTCAAAGACTTGCTGAAACAGCCAAGTCTTAACAGCCTCATGGAATACCAAAAGCATAGGAGATAAACAGATGTTCACTATACCAGAAAAGTGGATAATGGCAGAGAAAGCATATCACAGGGCACAAATGTGTGCCATCCATACACAAGCACAATTATCATGAAAGTGATTCTGAGAGCCAAGCTTCTTCGTCTCACACCAACAGTGAACAATGTGCATGCTGACTAAGGGAACTGAAACCACCAAAGTGGAAGTTGATGAGCTGTAGAAATGTTGGATCATCTTTCCCTAGGCTAATGTTACATGCCTTGTTAGGGTCTCATGCAGTTTTGTCTTCTCATATCTTGAATGATGTGACTTTGGGATAGAGATGCACTAATGAGTGATGAGAAGAATGGGCCAGTTGTTTTAATAGACTCAAGCTTGGACCCATAAGGTCTATTACAAGCCGGAATTGAGTTACCCAGGTTCAGCTATTTCTTATAGCAAAGGAAGCTGTGGCCCATAAAGCCATTTTCCTGCTTCTGTGAGCAGTGTCCACCCGCCAAAAAATCCCTTTCTATATTACTGAATCTTAGTTCATAGAATTCTTCAAATATTCATGCACTACATTAGAAGTGAAAAAGAGATAAGCACTCTTTTAATAGGCTGAAGCACAGAGATCTCAGACCTTCAGGAGATTAATGTTTTAAATCTATTACTCTTGAGGCCCCATTGTAATCAAGGAGCACAAGCCAAACCTCCAGAGGGAGAAAATCAGCTTTGAGACCAAGAAGATATAAGTGATGGAGAGATAGTTCCTTTCACAGGTACATTCTATTCACATAGGCTGGAGGCTATGGGTTGAAAATAAGAATAAAAGGAAGGTGTAACAAAGGACAATTGATTCCCACCTCTGGTGCTTTTCTCCAGTCATTTGCTTCAATTAGTGTTTCCCCCTCTCTTCTTTCCAGCTTTCCAATATCAAAGCTAGAAAGCAGAAAAATGCCCCAATAAACTGGTTTGAGGGATATAGGATGCCAGCTGAGGCAGATCCAATGTCTTCCAGATATTCTAGACAATCTCCTTGTCCTTGCTTATGCTGTTTCAGACTAATAGGAATTGAAGTCCCCAAAATCTGGAGCATACTAGATGGACTGCCTCTAATTTATACTGCAAATACATGACATCCCTGCCTTCATTTTATATTTGAAAACAGCCCTGTCAAATGTAGCTCCATCCTGAATTTCCTCCTGCCGTGTTAAAGGTACAGTCCAACACAGTTACTGTTCAAATAGCCTTTTGCTGCTGATTTAAGCAAGCATTCAACAGCCCTACAAAAGTGAATGTATTTAGAAGGGTATCATTAACAATTCCGAATTCTGTTTATTCAGTACACTTGTTAGGTTTTAAATACTAGGTCTCCTCTTTAATGGGTATTTCTGTGGAAAACTCATGCAGCATTGTTAGTAGAATGTGTCATTTATTCAAGGTCAACAACCACAGTGAGATTCAGGCTTATTTTTAAAAGCCTTTCCTTGCAATGCTATTCTCCAGAGCTTCCCATCTCAACTCATAAACTTCGGTTAAGCCCGAAGCAGCAGTCAGATTCTTCAGTTGCAATTGGCTAGGCCAGTTAAGTCATGCAGCCTGTATGGATTTCACTGACATAGTATTAAGTGAAATAGTATGGTATAGATTAGGTTTTCTCTTGTCCTTGAAATTAGATTATAAATTATAGTAAAACTAAAGGGACAAAGTTCAGCTGCTGTTTCACACTGGTGGTTCTTTTTTTTTTTAAAGATATGATATTTTTTTATTCCGAATGGTGATACTTCTCCAGATTCTTCTCTAAAAATCAAACTAATATTTCCTCCTTCTTTCTAAACCATAGGCAAATATAGAAAGGAGTACAAATCAGAGTAAAGAGAGAAGTTAAGATAGTTGTCTTTAGAAATAAGTGCACAAACTTAAGAAATTAATTCTTGGAAAATAAAATGCCAAGAGTCATGTTGAGATATATGAAAAAGAAGATAGTACAATGAGATTTAATTTGAAATCCAAACACTTCAAAGATCATTTATAATCAAAATTAAAAATACTATGAATAAAATATTCTTGACAGAAGCATACTATCAATTAGCAAATAGAAATTGAAAGAACAGCAGAAGAAACTTTTAGGAATCATATTCAAGTTGTTTCTTGTTGCTAGTATCAAGCTCTTTGACTGATTCAGAATGAACTAGTTACTGTAATCAGCCTTCATAGACTAAAACCATAAACTGACAGTTCAGAGTTTAGAATTAAAAGCAATACTATTCTCTGGTGCTATCCATCTTGCCTTCATAGACTAAAACCATAAACTGACAGTTCAGAGTTTAGAATTAAAAGCAATACTATTCTCTGGTGCTATCCATCTTATCTCTTGATCTCAAGAGGCCAGGAGAAGCACAGGTTTGTTTAAATTCCCCTTTGCTTCAAAGTTGCAGATCTTTTAAAAAGTCTAGACAATAGGTGTGGGGAAAGGCTTCAATTATTCTTACATTTAGGGCCCTGTTATAAAATTTATGCATGTCGAGGAACTGTTATAAGTGAAACTTCACTTTACCAATAGAAAATAATATTTGTAGCTCAGGATTGAACTGTGGAGTTCTTGGTGCTCTCTGAACTTGGTTGTTTGAAAACACTTCATTACCCAGCTAGGTAATAACTTCAGTGCTAGAAGGAAATAGAATTTGCTTTCTCATTATATACAGAAAGCTTGCCCTGTCATTCTTGAGGGCATCCTCTTCATGGATATTCTCATCAGCAGAGGAAATGGCAGCAAATTAGAAACACAAGTCTATCGTAAAACCCACCCATATTAACCAAGTGCTCCATTACCAAATGCCAACAAAAGAAGCTATGTAAGAACATTATGAGTCACAGTGACACAGTGGGTAGAATGCAGTACTGCAAGTTACTTCTGCTGACTGCTGGCTGCGTGCAATTTGGCAGTTCGAATCTCACCAGACTCCAGGTTGACTCAGCCTTCCATCCTTCTGAGGTCGGTAAAATGAGGACCCAAATTGTTGGGGGCAATATGCTGAATCTGAAATATGCTGAATCTAGAGAGGGCTGTAAAGCACTGTAAAGCGGTATATAAGTCTAAATGCTATTGCTATTATTCAGATGAGCACAAATGCACTACAACTACCCAGAGCATCAAAAAAGGAAACATCACCTATATAGTACCTTCTAACCAAATGAATACCCATTTTAGATTATTTTAAAAAATCCTGCTCGCTCCACCTATTATAGCACAACCAATATAAGCTACAAAAAGGATAGCACTTCAGAAACTACCAACAGACTATTGGAACCTTATGGCATCACTGTAGTACATAAACTAACTAAAGTTTTCCAAAATATCTTAAGTAAACCAAAGGACCCAGTAGCCCAAGAAAAAAAACAGGGTTCATCTATAATATACGTATAGTGTGAGGGCTATAACAGCCTCTCTCTAGGACAGACAAGCAAAAGACTAACAGAACACATCCATGAACACCAACCAGCAATCAAAAGACACAATAAAAATGTTTTAATTTGAACAGACTTAACCATAGTTTCAGCTAGGAAACTGTGAGCATACTAGACCAAGCTAAATTCGGGAATTCCTAAAAGCTTGGTATTCAGATGGATCAACATGAACAGTATCATAGAGATAAACATATCCAGACAACTTTCAAAAACTACAAAAAAAGCAAAAAGAAAAAAGAAAGAAAACGAAAAGACCAGAACACCTCCTTGCCATGAATCATCACCCAGATAAGCAGGGATTGATACCAGAAGCAACGCCAGACAATCAAGCAGTAAACAACAGAGTAATCCAGGAACTACCAAGGAAAAATCTACATACCCACCATCATAGACTGGACAATTCTATTTATTTATTTATTTAGGTTTACTTGCACTTCTATCTTCAACAAAGTCTTGAATAAAATATTAATAATATATCAGAGTTTTCTTGCTTTCAGATAATTTATCTTTAGTTCTATTCTTATATTTCTGTGTCATAAAACAAAATTAATGCTCAAAAGGAAAGGTGTCCCTGATTCTCCTTGCATGAAAAATTTCTGAAACTTTCTGAATAAAATAGAAATGATTTTGTGAAAGTTGGAGTTTCCTTTATTTATAAGGAGACAATAATTTCAGTAACCCTTTGCAGCATATGTCTTTCAGACATATGTTTGCTATTACATTTAGTTCATGCCATGCCTGTCCCATCTCAGAGCAAAATTGTTTGAAGAAGCTGCTGTTTCCTAGGTCCTGCAAAATGCTAACAATTATTAACATATAAAGAGCATAAATAAAGAGCAAACCTCACACTCTTCTAGCACTAACAAGCTTAGAGAGCACTAAGGATTCCACTTCATACTATTACTAAATATGTACAATTGCCAAAGCTGGACTGAAAAAATCTGGATGAACACAAGATGGCAACAATTGGAGATTTCTTTTTATCCCTTTGGTGCTATCTAGGAGTTACTGGAAGCTAGTTGTTATAGCCCCATAAAGTGATGGTAAAACAGCTGTACAAAGTAGGCAAGGTGATATTTCATTCCCCATTGAGTGACAGTAATTCAACTAGGTTGGTACAAATTTAATTTCTAAGTATGAATCATTGCATCTGTCTGACTTCCATATTAATTTTTACTGAAACCGAAGTTACTTCCTTAGGTGTCGCCAATTGAAAGAGTTTTAAAAGGTAGAAATATAGTATCTCCCCTAGGCCAGTACTGGTTAAGGAACCAGGCCGGAAACCCAGAGACCATAAGTTCTAGTCCCATCTTAGGTACAAAACTAGGTGCACAACCTTGGCAGTAGCTCCTTTCAGGAAGAAGGCAAGGGCAAACCACTTCCAAAAATCTTGCCAAGGAAACTTCAGGGACTAATCCAGGGAGGTATCAACATTGACTCGAAGGCAACCCTCCCCTCCCAAAAAAAAGCCACTAGATGCTTCCAAGATTTTGATCTCGTGTTGCAAATTTATACACGGATTGCCTCCACAGTCCTCACCTCCAAGTCCTGTCCCTCCCACCCTACCGCCTGCACCTTTGTTCATGATGGAAAGGGGGAACCTCTTAAACCCTTACAATTGCACCTGTTTGATACAGCTTCATCTCCATTTTGTGGCTCCCACGCATGCTTACAAACCTGCTTCTATCATGAGGCTACCAAAAAGCCATTGTTTACTTCAAGCAAGCTCATTATTATTTAACACGGTGATATGCAAAATGCTTATAAACCTGTCATACAGAAAATAATAACTCTGTCTCTTCCTTCCTTCTCTTTTTTTATTTCTTTTTATATAGCGCTTCTCTTGACTCAAGGTAAGTCATTTCCCCCCTTTCTCCCCTTCCTTTTCTCTGTTTGGATTTCTGCTCTGTCCTTTCTTTGTCCACAGCCTAGATTCTAAATGTTGTCTTTCATTTGTAATGACTTCATACTTCAAGGATTTCACCTCAACGTTTAGAACCAATGCCATTGTTGAGAATAACATGAACCTGAGCCCTTGCTAGAATGTAAGGAAAAGGGTTCAGCTGGGGAGAAAGAGCTGAAGGTCGTTGGAACTGAGGTTGCATCTGTGTTCTCTACAGCCTTGAGGGAACCTGCCACATGCCAGGGTGAACCTGTAGTGACCAGTTCATTTTGCACAGATGAACGTGAACATACCCAGATATGCAGACACGGAGAGTGAGTTCAGCCTTGTCATTCCGACTCAGCAAGAGGAACACAGAATGACGGTATATCACTCTAAAGGCATCTGCAGGCTCTGATATTTTCATCCAAATGATGAAAGCAACACCTCATCATTGTGCTGCATACATTCTATGTTTGTGCAGTATAAGATAAGATAGGATAATAAGATGGGATGATAAGATAGAATGGGATGGGACAGGACAGGATAAGAAGATAAGATGAGATAAGGTAAGGTGTGTGTGTGTGTGTGTGTATGTATATATATATATATATATATATATATATATATATATATATATATATATATA